AACTCAACCCTGAAGAAACAATTACCCACCCACTCTACAGACACGGCTGATTGACGCCTATGAACAAACACCTCATATCGTCAGATGTGTACACATGCCCCGCATCCAATGGTTCATCTCACCTATAAATACCCAAGGGTTGGCAAGAGGTAAAGGTAATGAAACTCTTATTACATAGCACTCTATAACAAGTATATATTTTCTCTTCCCCCTTATTATTATTTTGCACAACCTCTAGGTACTATTTCGACCACCCGAACCTGACTTGACCGCGGAGTGTATACGGCCGCTACCACCCTTGCTGGTCCCGATTGTGTGCATCTGACCGTGTGTTGATTGTGCGCAGGGAGGAATACGTGGAGTAGCTCTCGATTGGCCACGTGGAAGATCCAATTTTTGAGGTCAATAGATTGGCGCCGTCTGTGGGAAACATTTCCCGTTCCAAGTTCTGCATCCTCCATCGGAGGGAGCACCGGAAGACTAGCGACTAACCCTGAAAAGGGCACGTTCTTGAAAAAGAACAAGGTCGAGTTATAATCCAAGTTCTCACCACTCTTTAAAAAAGAGATAGGATGAGTTATAGCCATGAAGACGACAATCCTATGAGAGAGGCCTCTGAAGAAGAGGTGCTCCATAACAATGTTACTCATAAGAGACTATATCACCGACGTCGCCGAGGTGGAAGAACAGCCATGCTCACTGAAGGAATGACTCAAATAGCTGCGGGCATGAGAGGCATCGCAGCTCAGAATATGGCGATGCATGAACTTCTCATGCAAGCCCAAGGTCACTAGGGCTATCAAATGCCCCAATGGTCTTACCCAGTGCAAGAAGCCCCAATATCTCGTTTTCGAGGCCACACCAGTCAGCACAGAGAACGCTCCCTCGAAAGAGGCATGAGCGCCGAAGCCACCTCTTATGTGCAAGGAAACCAGCCATCAGAACCATACTTGGGGGACAATTTCCCCCAAGAATATGAGAAACAAAGGTCGATAAGCGTCTTCGACCGGATAAGGGGGGATCTTAGCAATAGGGTCCACCCAGTGAAAAGATCAATTCGACCAGATCAGGAACAAGAACAAGCTCATCCTCCTAGAAATAGGAGGGACAGGAGGAACCTAGTTAATTGGAGGAGTCAAGGAGAAGCACCTCCACCTCCCCAGAACATTCAAGATGATGAAGGGTAGATGGACCCTGTCGGTCTTATGAGATCGATGATGATGATGATAATCTCCCTTTCTCAAGGGAGATCTAAAGCTTCCCAATGCCAGCAAATTTCATGCCCCTTAAGATCCTCAAGTATGAAGGAAAGGGGGACTCGGAGAAGCACCTTACCAAGTATATGACACAAATGAGTCTCAAGGGAGCCTCGCCTGCATTGAAATGCAGGCTTCCATTTAATACTAGGCGGAGCCGCCGAAGTGTGGTACAGCAGGCTTCCTCCCTTAAGCATTAGAAGCTGGCCAGATTTGAAGAAGGCATTCTTGAATCATTACCTCTCGTGAAGAGAATGAGAGGCCCCAGTGCAACGCCTGCAAGACATAAGGCAGGCCCCTAGAGAGACACTGAAAAGCTATCTCACCAGGTTTATGGACGAAATCATAGACTGCGAATAGGTCACTGATAGAGAAGCCCTTCAAGCCTTGAAAGGCGGCCTCAACATGAACATTTTGTTCTGGAGGGAGGTACGCAGCAAGAATCTTCCCACCCATGACGAACTCGTGGAAATGATGAGAGCTGAAATCGTGAGTGAAGAAATGATTGATCACCGAAATCGTACCGCGCAGGGACTCCCTCCGTCTCAGAGGCAGGTAGGTCGAGGACCCGCAGCACACCTTGTTACTCAGCAATGGACTCAAGCAGGTCATACCATAGCTCCCACCTCTGGACAGGCGCTGGCTTCTCCACATTGAATGCAGTGCCGGTGTTGGCATACGAAAATGCTCCTACCGAAGCGAGACCATCCGAAAGAGCTGATAGTAAGAAGAAGAAGAAGAAAAGGTCAAACAGGCCCTTGGAAGGGGCAAGGTTTTGCACGTTTCATCAACTCTATGGGCATGACACTAGTGAGTGCCGAGATGCCAATCGACGCCCTGATCGAAGCAACCCACACCCTTCTAGCAGGAACGAATATCCTCGCAGATCTGTCTCCCCGAACAGTGGAGAGAGAGGGCACAGAGAGCAATCACCTCGGAGAAGAGAATCAAGGGACCGAGGTCAATCTAGACAGAGAAACCAGGCCCCATTTTCTGGGAGCCAAGTCATCAGGGAAATCGATACCATCATTGGGGGACCCCACATCGGTGGCAACACCGGGAATGCCCAAAGGAAACGAGTCGCAAGCAGCCGATAGGATGACCCCAATCACCTTCTCCCAGGAAGATGCAAAGGGGGTTCACCACCCCCATTGTGATGTATTGGTTGTAAGAGCCGTAGTGGCTAGAAACGGACTGAAACACATGCTCATCGACAATGGCAGTTCGATGAACATATTGTTCGACTCCACCTTTGACAAAATGCAGATTGAACATGGGTTGATACCCATGACCGACCCATTATTTGGATTTACCGGGGATAGCATCATCCCACGAAGGCGGATCCCTCTGCCCGTCGAGATGGGTTCGACACCCCTAGTGGCCCAACACTTCATGAAATCCTTGGTGGTAGATCACAGATCGGCCTATCATAGAGTATTGGGCAGACCCACTTTGAAAGATCTTTGGGCCGTCACGTCCATCCACTACTTGTGCATGAAATTCCCAACTGAACATGGGATTGAACGGTCCGAGAAGATCAGATGGGCTCTAGGGCATGCTACTTAAACTCGCTGCGAAAGTCAGAGCCCTGAACTGTTAATGTAATCCTAACTGAGGTTCCTGCTGAAACTAGTATAGACGTGAAAATGCTCGACGCCCCTGAACAAAGGCATGTCTCTAAACAAGAGAAAGTCTTCGACATGGAAGAGACCCTTGAACAAGGGCACCCTCTTGATTAATTAGATCCCCGAATAATTGACTCTGAACTAAATGCAACCCCGATGGAAGAATTGGAAACTTTATCTGCCAACCCAGAAGACCCCAGTCAGGTCTTGCGTATAAGGAAAGCGCTGTCCCCCAAAGCAAAAGAAGAGATGATAAGCTTCCTAAAAAGGAACTTGGATGTCTTCACTTGGAAGCATGAAGACATGGTAGGAATAGATCCAAGGATCAGCTGCCACCATCTTAACATCAACCCTTTTTGTGCCTCCCATCGACAGAAGAGACGTGCCCTCAACCCGGAGAGGTATGAGGCACTGAAAGACGAAGTGAACAAACTTAGCCGCAGTGGTTTCATAAGGGAAGCCATCTACCTGAAGTGGATATCCAACTCGACCCTAGTGAAAAAGCCCAGCGAAAAGTGGAGGATATGCGTAGACTTCACAAACTTGAATAAGGCTTGCCCTAAAGACAACTTCCCACTTCCAAGGATAGACCAACTGGTGGATTCCACTCCTGGACACGAACTGCTGAGCTTCATGGATGCATACTCGGGGTACAACTAGATACCCATGTTCCGACCTGATGAGAAAGCTATGTCGTTTATTACGGACAGAGGTCTGTACTGCTACAAAGTCATGCCCTTTGGATTGAAGAATGCCGGAGCTACATATCAGAGATTGGTCAACATGATATTTACCGAACTCATTGGCAAAACCATGGATGTCTACATGGACGACATGTTAGTCAAAAGCCTCCGGGCAGCCGAACACGTAAGTCACCTCGACCAAACTTTTTAGATACTTAAAAAATATAAGATGAAGTTGAATCCCCTCAAATGCACCTTTGGAGTGGCATCGGGTCTGTTCTTGGGATACATTGTCAATCAAAGGGGAATTGAAGCAAATCCAGTTAAAATAAGGGCCTTGCTAGAGATGAGGTCACCCCAGAAACCAAAGGAGGTCCAAAGCCTCAATGGTCTGATAGCCGCACTCAGTCGCTTCATCTCCAGAGCCACAGATAAAAGTTTGCCTTTTTTCAATGTGCTTAAGCAAGGAAAGAAGTTCCAATGGACTTCTGAATGTGAGGAAGCCTTCCAGGTGCTAAAAAAGCACCTCGGAGAGGCGTTCCTCCTGTCGAAACCTCAACCAGATGAATCACTACTACTATACTTAGCAGTTTCGGACGTGGCGGTCAAGTTGTCCTAGTTAGAGAAGAAAGTGAACGCCAACTGCCAGTGTACTACGTCAGCAAAGCACTTCTCCCAGCTGAAACACGCTACCCAGACATGGAAAAACTTGCACTCGCCCTTATCACAGTCTCAAGAAAACTGAGGCCATACTTCCCAGCCCACTCAATCAAAGTTCTCACCAATTTCCCATTAAAGTAGGTGATGCAGAAAACAGACGCACCATGACGCCTCCTAAAATGGGCAATCAAGCTCAGTGAGTTCAATCTATTGTTCCGATCTTGACACGCCATCAAGAGCCAGGCCCTTGAAGATTTTATGGTTGAGTTTGCTAAAGCCCCAGAAATGGAGGCGACAATGGAACCAGTTAAGCCCCCCATATGGAAACTTTTTGTTGATGGGTCCTCAGGAGAAACTGGCTCCTGGACAGGGACTGTCTTGGAAAGCCCGGAAGGCCACAAGCTAAATTGCGCAGTAAGGTTCGACTTCAAAGCCTCGAACAACACCGTTGAATACGAAGCCCTTCTGGCAGGTCTTAGACTTGCTAAAGAGATGCAGGTTAGAAGGCTCTTGACGAGCAGCGATTCTTAACTTATAATGAATCAGGTCAATGGGAACTTCGCGGCCAAGGACAGTAGCATTGTTGTATACTTGAAGTTGGTTCTAGACCTAGTTCCTCATTTTGAAAAGTTCAAACTGACTTAAGTCCCCTTCCTAGAAAATACACATGCAGACGCCCTTTCAAAACTGGCTAGTAGCAAGGATTCAGAGCTACTAAAGATAGTCCCTATTGAGCACTTGTCAAAGCCGTCCACCTTCGAAGGTGAAGAAGTACTATGGATAGAAGGCACCCATTGTGGATGCAGCCTATCATCGCCTATCTGAAAGATCAATCATTGCCTGCCTCTAAAAGCGAGGCGGGGAAGTTAAAAAGAAGGACTGCACATTTCGTCTTGCAAGAAGATACCCTTTACAAGAGAGGCTTAGCCTCGCCACTTCTCCGATGCGTGGGAGGTGAAGAGGCCACATATATACTCTGGGAAACCCATGAGGGAATCTGCGGAAATCACTTCGGAGGAATAGCTCTGGTACACAAGGTTCTCCGTCAAGGCTACTTCTGGCCGACCCTGAAAAGGGACGCTTGCCAGTTTGTCCAGAAATGCAACAAGTGTCAGTGCTTCTCAAATATTCAAAGACAGCCTTCTTAAAGCCTCTTCGTAATAACCAGCCCCTGGCCATTCGCCAAGTGGGGCATTGACTTCATTGGTCTACTCCCAAAAGGAAGAGGAAGCGCAACTTTCGCCATTGTTGCCATTGACTACTTTACCAAATGGGTCGAAGCTGAACCCCTTGCCAAGTACTAAATTCGTCTGGAAGAACATCATTTGTAGGTTCGGCATTCCCCACTCCTTAGTGTCCGATAATGAAAGACAGTTCGACAACAAGAAGATGCGAGAATTGTGCGATGAGCTAGGCATTAAGAAGGACTTCTCAACGCCTCATCACCCTCAGGCAAAGGGACAAGTTGAGGCAGTGAACAAGATCATCAAGCACACCCTTAAAAGGAAGCTTGACACCTCAAAAGGGGCTTAGGTGGACGAGCTCCCCCACGTCCTCTGGGCCATCAGAACGTCTAACCGAACTGTAACAGGGGAAACACCATTCTCAATGACCTACAGGGATGAGACCATGAACCCTGTCGAGGTCGGGGTCCCATCACACCGTCGGATACACTTCAATGAGATCAGCAACGACGATGCTCGAATAAGCGAACTCCACCTCCTTGAAGAAATGAGGGATGCTTCACAAGTGAACTTGGTAAAATATCATCGAAAGATGACCTGCTATTATAAGGGGACCTCGTCCTGAGAAGGGTCTTCTAATTTTCAAAACCAATAGGGTCCGGAGTGTTTGGACCGAACAGGGAGGGCCCTTACCATATCTGCAGAGAATCTCGACCTGGTACTTTTGAAGTTGAAGACATGGCAGGAAAGGCACTACCTCATCAATAGAACATCGAACACTTGAGGACGTACTATCAATGATGAGCCTTTGTTCCGATCCGATATCAGTACTATCTAATGAATGGATGTTCTGATCTGATCTCAGTTGTAAATTCCCTAACTTACTATGTGCTAAAATTGCCTTGGTAAAGTATGGTGTAATTTGGTAAAGTAATGAAACTTCGGTTCTGTGCCACATCGGTTAGTAAATTGCTTCCTCAATCCTTCAACATGTTTACTTAGGTGATCCGATCTCAAGTTGTTAACTGATTAACGTTAAGAGACTTCATGTTTACTTAAGTGGTCCACTTTATATTAACTTAAGTGATCTGATCTTCTGTTATTAACTAGTTATTAAGGGCCGCTTAGCCTTGAGTGTTCATACAAGGGTAAACAGATCAACACAATAAATTAGCAGAAGCCCTAATACTTAACAAAATATTTCATTTCATTTACTTCAATTCAAAATACAAAAAAGGTCGAAGCCATTACAAGAGTTGGACCTATTCTATCGGAGGGTCTTTTCGGGCCGCCTCTGCCTCGACCACCTCCGGGGCCTCCGGAGCTTCTTCAGCAAGCTTGTCAGGCCGGACTCCAGTTGGTCCCCCGAACTCCGCCTCCAAAGTGGAGATGTCCAGAGTAGGGTGGACCTCTCTCAGCCGACCCAACAAGCCTTGGGCACTCCAGGAGGCCCAAAAGTTGGTAAAGTCGTCGTACATGGGGTGTTCTTCGAAGTGGTCAATAAAGTTCTGAACTGCCACCTCCACTGCCGGCTTCAACTCCTCCTTCAAGGAGGCAATCTCCTCAAATTGAGCCTCTACCTTTTGCCTCAACTCTGCCTTTTCTTTGTTAGAGGCCTCCAGAGCCTCCGTAGCAAGCCAGTGGTGTTCGTTGGCGTGATCTACTCGCTGAGTCATGGCAGGCACCTGGCACTCCACCTCATATAGCTCTTTTTTCAGCCGCTCCACTTCAGCTTTGGCGGCAGATAGCTGGGCCTCAATCTCATTCCTTCTTTTCTCCTCCTCGTTGGCCTTGGCCCGGGCCCTCCTCATAGCATCTCCATATTGCATCGCCTCCTCGAGGTGCTTGGCGAGGTCCTCCTTGAAGAGGGAAAGGTAATGAACTCTTACTACATAGCACTCTATAGCAAGTATATATTTTCTCCTCCCCCTTATTATTATTTTGCACAACCTCTGACTACTGTTCCGACCACCTAAACCTGACTTGATCGTCGGAGTGTATACGGTCGCCACCACCCTTGCTAGTCTCGGTTGTGTGCATCTGACCGTGCGTTGATTGTGTGCAGGGAAGAATACGTGGAGTAGTTCTCGGTTGGCCACGTGGAAGATCCAATTTTCGAGGTAAACAATAATATTCTGATTATACTCCATTCCTTTTTGAATTTTAGTTGCATCCAATTGACTCCTGATAATCTTCAAAGTATCTCTTATGGTCAAATCAACCGTTCGATATTTGCAATTTAGCCCTCAAATTTTGTACTTTGCATTTTTTTACTATTTTTTGCTTCTTTCTCTCAATTCCAATTAAATTTGGCTATAACTGCTTAAAAGAACTATTAAATGTCTATATTTTTAGGTTCAAATAAGTGTGTAAAATACATTTATTACCTTCAAATGAGTGCTTAAGACATAATCATGCATATTGTGCACTTCCATTTTCATGCACTTTGTTAGATAAGAAAATATAGTAGGAAGAACAAGTGAGCTCGTGTCCTTTTTTTATGCAAGCCTAAGAACAAGAATAAGAATAATCTCAGGAGCTCATGGATAAGAGGGGTAATTGTCTCCCTTGAACAAGTAATACACTCATGGGTAAATGATTAAAGCATGACCAATGAATGAAGAACACATAAGTAGGTGAATAAATCATGAACATGAACAAAATCAGTTTGGAATCCACCCATAAATGATTGCCACCTATTTTTTTTATTTTTATTTTTTCACTAAAATAGACCCAAATTGCCTCCAAGGCCCTCTAGGAAATTTTGAATAATTTCGCATAAAGGAAGAAATCCATGCAAATTCAAATATTTTCCTCCAAAATATTCAATTTTCCTCTGACTCCTTGCTGAGCATTAAACATGGAGAGTCTAGGATGAGAAAATCCTTACCACATGAGAGAAATTTGTTGATTATAATTTAGTGGTCAACAAATTAGCGTCGTTGTTAAAATCAGCAAAGATAACCACGGAGTTGTTCACCGAACTTGAGGAATCACTAAAATTTATAGAGAGATGAGTCAAGCTGAGGCAAATTATGAAGAAGAAAAGGCGCTGGAAGGCGAAGGTAAAGAATTTGGCTATGATCTAGTCAGTACCATGAGTCTAAAATGGCAGCAGGAGAGAACTCCAGTGAAGCTACAAACTGTTCTATCTCCAACTCAATGTCATCGTCTATGAAAGAAAAGATCGACAGAAACACCATATAGGAAATAATAGAAGGCCTCAAAGTATTGGGGGCGAAAAATGCCTCTTTGCATGCGAAAGTGAAAAATCAAAAATGTAAATCTATTGAATAAAACACTACTTCAAAAGCCTGCGAGAAATAAGGTAATTTAAAACCTATAATCTCTTCAGTTAAGTCTATAAAACCTAGGAGTGGAAACTCATGCTCTAAAAAGGAGGTAACAGTCATCCAAGTAATGATAACTGGAGAAAGTTTTCCCCATATATTTCTAGACAATGGAAGTCGATCTAATGATTGTTTTATACAAAGATACTTTGATCAAATGCATAAGTATAATCTCTAGATTTCTATGTCGAAGCCTCAATACTTCATCAAAAGTCGCCCAATCCCTCGTAGATAGGTCACCCTTCTAGTGAAGATAGGAAATTAGCCTCAAGAATATCAAGGATATATGGATTTCTGCATCATAAAGAGAAAAAATCGTACGTGGCGGAATCTGATAAAAGTTCTAGAATAATTTGTAATCTTCAAGATTTTAAAGAATTCAAATTCAAATTGAACACTCAACCTACAAAGGCTTCATTCATTGAATGATCAAGGGATAATATTCCTAATTCAAGTTGTATACTCAACAAGCAAGTTGGAATCTAGAAATTAACATGGACAGCAATCTGATGTTCACAAAACAGCTGGAATTTGGAAATTAAAGCAGCAGCCAATTCACATTCAAATGTTCAAACTATGCAAGCTGGAAATTAACTTAAGGCAGCAGCCATTCACACTTTTGATAGTTAAAACACAGCTATAAAGACATGTTTTCCAGTTGCAAATGGAGAAGAAAAACAGCCTTTATCTAGTTGTAATTGTAGAAAATTCTTAGGACTAGTTTACTCATTGTTTTCTATAAATAGGAAGGCATCCAACTAGTGTCATGTATGTAGAAGAAGTGAGAAAAAAAACCTCTCAAAAGTAGAAAGAAGAGTGCTGTAGCAACTCCTTTGTAATCCCGAAATTTCATTAGTAAAATCTCATATTTCTCCTATCTCTATCCTTCTACATCCAACAGAATCCTCTCCTTATCATGAAACAGGCGAACATAACGCTTTTCTTCTACCAGTCACATGTGAGGTTCTCCACGAATAAAGGTAAAGCCTCCGTAGAACACACTTAAAGAAGCTTGCTAAGAAACCATTGAAATGACCCAGGGAAAGAGCCTTACATGCTCTCAACAAGAATGTAATTGTTATAGTTGAGATGAGTAATCCAGGAAAGAAACTTGAAATTGATAACTTAATTGATCTTCGCATAACTGAATGCATGTTCAAAGTTTTTGTAGTCGAAGAACTAAAATGTTTTTCTCTCAGTGTAGAAGATACAAGTAAAGCTCTGAAAATTGGCAATGAATTGAAGGAAACTACAAAAGTCCCATTGAAAGATTTTTTGAAAGCGAACCTAGATGTATTTGTGAGAAAATATGTAAACATGGTAAGAATATATCTTAAAGTGACTTGCCATGCATTGAAAATTGATTCCAAAATAAAACCTAAAATGCAAATGAGTGAACAATAAGCGCTAAAAAGTGGAAGCATTAAAAAATGAAGTGGATTGATTGTTGAAAATGGTTTTATCTGTTAGTTGATCAACTGATAAATGTGACTGCAGGACATGAGCAGTTAAGCTTTAAAAATGCTTATTCAAGATATAATGAGATACCTATGTATGGTCAAGATGAAGACGCATGCCTTCGTAACAGATCGAAGGTTATACAACGTAATGCCATTTGGACTATAAATTCTGGGGCCACCTATAAAGGCTAGTAAAAAAATGTTAATGAAGTCAATTAGGTAAAACAATGGAAGAATACATTAATGACATGATTGTAAAAACCTACAAGCTGAAAGCCATTTAAAACACTTGGAAGAGGCCTTTAATGTACTAAAGAAGTATAGGAGGAAACTCAATCTGTTAAAATATGATGTTAGAGTCAAATTCAGAAAATTCTTGGGGTACATGGGAAATCAGTAAGATATTGAGGTGAGCCTTGATAAAATTCAAGCTTTCATTAAAATGTAATCCTTAAAAAGGTCGAAGGATTTACAAAATTTAACAGGAAGGGTCGTCCCTTAAGTAGATTCATATCACATGTAACATACAATTGCTTTCT